TCCAAGAGGACCTCCACAAACTGGGTGAGTGGGTGACAATGTGGTAAATGAAGTTCAGTGTTGGTAGGTGTAAGATGATGTACATTGAGACAAAAAGATCCCAGCTTCAAGTATAGGCTAAAGGGGTCTAAACTTGCTGAGACTGAGGGAAAAGATCTTGAGGTCATATTGGATAGCTCAGTGATAAGTTTCAACCCAGTGTGCTGCAGCAGTGAAAAAGGCACCTTGCCAGAAGCAGAGCTGACCCAGCTGAGCTCTGAGAAAAAGCAGGAGATAGAACTGCTAGAGGGGTGAGTGTTTTTTTATTTACTTTCAGCTGAGGTGATTTAGCTGAGAGGGTACTACTGTGTGGGGGGACTGTGTTTGGGAGTGTGTGGGTGAGCTGTGAGTTGTTGCAGAGTCCTGGCTGCTTGAGATAGGGTGTGAAAGGGTCATTGTCTGACTGTAATTGAGTGTCTGGGTGAATTTGAATAGCTGCTGGCCACACCCTCTGCTGGGGGAAGCTTCTATTTAAGGCAGCACCTCACCAGAGGCACAAGCCAAAGGGCAAGAGCCAAAGGACTCTTGGCCTGTGGCTCTTAGCCTAGGGACTCTTAGACTAGGGACTCTGTAAGTAGCCCAGGAAGGTCACCACACCTCGAAAAGGATATTATAGCATTGGGAAAAGTGCAGAAAAGGGCAACTAGAATGCTAAGTGATGCTCATTGGAACAAAAAATCCTAACTATAAATACACATTGAAGGGGTCCGAACTGGCAGAGACTGACCAAAAGTTGTAGTAGGTAACTCACTGAAAATATCGAGACAGTGTGCGACTGCAATAAAAAAGTCCAACGTTATGCTGGGGATTATTAAGAAGGAAATTGAAAACAAATCAGCCAGTATCATAATGCCCCTGTATAAATCAATGGTTAGACCTCAAGTGGAGTACTGTGTACAGTTCTGGTCACCACACCTCAAAAAGGATATTATAGCATTGGAAAAAGTGCAGAAAAGGGCAACTAGAATGATATAAGGGTTGGAACACTTTCCCTATGAGGAAAGGTTAAAATGCTTGGGGCTCTTTAACTTGGAGAAATGACAGCTGAGGGGTGACATGGTCAAGTTTTATAAGATTATGCATGGGATAGAGCAGGTTGAGAAAGAAGTACTTTTCTCTCTTTCTCACAATACAAGAACTCATGGGCACTCAATGAAATTGCTGAGCAGTCGGGTTAGAACGGATAAAAGGAAGTTCTTCTTCACCCAAATAGTGATTAACACATGGAATTCACTGCCACAGGAGGTGTTGGCGGCTACAAGCATGGACAACCTTCAAGAGGGTATTAGATAAGCACAAGAAGGGGGACCCGTGATAATCGTGGGAGGGGGGGAGAAGCTCCACGGGAGAAGGAAGCAGCTGCAGGTGAGCCTTCTCCCCTGTCCCCCCCATCCCCGGCACCCATGGCAAAGCCCACGCCCCTCCAAGGTTCCCCCTCCCCTACCGGCAGCGAGGCCTTGCTGGCCCGTTAAACTTTCTTGCTCCCCCCCCCAGTGGCGGCGGTGGCAGCGAGGCTTCGCCGGCCCACCAAGCTTTCTCCCTCCCCCCTCAGCAGTGGCGGCGGCAGCAAGGCCTCGCTGGCCCGCTGAACTTTCTCCCTCCCCCAGCGGCGGTGAGGCCTCACTGGTCTGCCAAACTTTCTTCCTCTCCCCTCCCCTCTCAGCAGCGGCGATGCCTCACTGGCCCACTGAACTTTCTCCCTCCCCTGGTGGCAGCAAGGCCTCGCCGGCCTGCCAAACTTTCTTCGTCCCCCCTCAGCGGTGGTGGTGGTGAGGCCTCGCTAGCCTGCCAAACTTTCTCCCTCCCCCGGCGGCGAGGCCTTGCCGTCCCGCCAAACTTTTTCCTCCCCCCCCCTGTGGCGGCGAGGGCTGAGCAGTTTACAGCCGCCAGCCAGCCAAGCCTTCTCCCCCCACCCCTCCCCTTCTCTGGTGGTGGTGGTGGCGGTGGCAAAGCCGTTCTTTTTCTTTTGGGGGGATTTAATTATCCCCCTATATTGTTTTTTACAGTTTTCACATTTTTCTGCACACCTGGGCATTGCCCCACGTGCACAGGAAAATCTCCCTGCCCCCCAGGTGCCCCCAATGTGCGGATTTAGATATCCGCACGCAGGGGGCACCTTCGCTATTAGATATATAGATATGGAACAAAAGTCCATCAGTGGCTATTAGCCACAAGGTACAGATGGGAACTCTCAGGCTGGGGCAAGTGATGCATTGTATTCTTGGTGCTTGGGGGGGGGCAGCGGGAGGGCTTCTAGTGTCCTGGCTCCACTGCTGGACCTCCTGATGGCACCTGATATTTTTGGCCACTGTGTGACAGAGTCAGGGCCAGCTCCAGGGTTTTTTGCACAGTAGGCGAGGCTACCTTCTGGCGCCACCCCCATGAGAGAGGAAGAGGAAGACAGGAAGGAAGGGAAGAAGAAAGAAAGAAAGAAAGAAAGAAAGAAAGAAAGAAAGAAAGAAAGAAAGAAAGAAAGAAAGCCACCCCTCCCTCTGTTCTTTGACAAGAAGCTGGGATGCCTCTCTCCTGAGGCTGGGGGGGGGGGAGAAAGGAGACTGAGGAGGCTCCGTATCAGCCAAACAGCCCCCCCCAACCCCCACCGGGGCTCCCTGGTCGTATCAATCCACCACAGATCTGCTCCCCAAATGTGCGCTGGACTGGCGCTCCCTGCGCTGAGGCGCTGGACAGAAGCGCCCGCCCTGTCGGCCTCTGCCACCTGAACTGCCCTCCGGGCCCCGTGGGAGGGGCCAGGTGTGGCAGGCTGGCTCTTCCACTTCGGCACTCGGCAGGCTTAACCCCTTCAGGGCTGCAGCGGGCAAAGGGGAAAGGGAGGCGCGTTGCCCAGGCTGCCCTCCACCGCTCAGTGGGGCTACTCGGGAGGAACACAGCAGGTGGGGGGTACTGCTTCTGAGCTTCCCAAGGCGGCTCCAGCACGTCTCCTCTGAGGAAGGTAGAGCAGGCAACACTTACCTTCCCTGTGGCTGTGGGCAGCCCGGGCGGAAGGAGGGTCCATCAGTGGCTATTAGGGATGTGCATTCGGTTTGTCCGAACCGAATGCACCCCTGAAAATGGCCCATTCAGACCCCTTTCGGGCTGCTGCAGGCTGATTCAGATTCTCTGATCTGAATCGGCTTGCCGCCGAATTGCCGCTGAATTTCGGTGGCAATTCAGCCCCATTATATCCTATGGGCCATTGAAGTCAATGGCAAAAACATAGGGTATATTCTGGGGGCTGGAGGAGAGGGGGTTTGAGGGAGAGGCCCCCTTCTAACCTACAGTCTGAACACAGCAGATGCAGGTCTCCTGTGTGCAGTGCTTACCCATGCTCCAGTGTATTGTATTGCTGCATTGGAGGACTCAAAGCCCTGTTCAGTCCTAGGCAGAGAGGGCTGCAATTAGGGCCACATAGTGAAGGTGAGAAGTTGTTGCATAAGAGTGTTGACTGCCATTGCCATCCTCCTGTAATCTTCAGGCAATACACCTGCAGGCCCGGCTCATTTGGGGGAGTGGGGGGACTGAAGTTGTCCCGGGGTTGGGGACTTCACATGCAAAGAACAGGATCACATGTTGTTGTGTACAGTATTTAACAGGAGCAGGCTTCATGTAGTTCACAGCCCACGTCCAGCGATCTGGAATGAATTAAACCGTTGCTGTTTCCACTCCTCTTGCAGTCTGCTTTCAGAAAGAAAAAGTGCAAAGTGTAACCTGGAAACTGTGGAGCCTGATACAGCAGCATGTAGTAGGTTAGCTGGATTCATTAGGAGTTAGGCTCCTCCTGTACCTTTGTAACAGCTGTGTACAAAGGAGAATTTCAGTGGGTGTAAATTCTTCTGCTACTCCAAAATTACAGGGGGAAGCTTGTACCTTTTTGCAGTATGTTCCTTGTATGCAACTAATTGTAACAGCTCAAGAACCCATTTCATACTGAATTTGCACATTGAGGAGTGTTGGAGAAGAAAATACCTTTTGGCTTCTGTTCTTTGCTACTTTCACTGCAGTCACGTTGCCCTTCCCAGTGGAATTTGGGGATTTTCCTTTCTGTAAAATAATGCCTTCTTTCCCATGATTATGTTAAACAGAATCTAGTGTTGTATAGCCGTCATTGTGTTCAAAGCATCTTTCATTGCCAGTGACCTAACGACAGGCACCTGTGCAACCTCACATACAAAACTTGATAAGCTCATTCTGGTCTCTGAGGAGGACAAAATGATTTGAGTGGGCTTGATGCCACTTACTGTTAAAGCTAAGGGAGTCTTGGCTTGCCTGGGAGCTCAGTGTAAGCTGGTTTGAACTTTCTGTAGGGCCTGGTACATGCTAGAATCAGACGAGTGCCCCCCTCTTGCCCAGCATTCTGTACCCAACAGTGGCAAGCCAAATACTTCTGGAAAGCTTTCAAGCTGGGCTTGATGTCACAGCCACACCTTGTTTTCCTGAAGCAGCCAGAGATGCACGGCTTCTAATTATGTGGAATGATTTTGGTTTGTCATGGCATCTTCAAAAAGGGCCTGCCCCCCCCCCCCGATTTGTCTAATCCCCCCCTTTTTTTAAAAAAAGAGGAACACTTAGGTGGTTTAATGAATTCCATTTAAAAACATAAGCATTGGAGAGAGTGGAACATAAATGTGGTAAACAAAATGGGTGTGCCCCCATTGAACATACCTTAATTTTTTCATACTATTTACAGAAAGTAGCGTGGCCTGTCATTGCTGCTGTTGGGTCAGAGTCTCCAGGAGCAGCCCATGGCATTATGTAACTCTTATTGGCCTCCTCCCTGGTTTTTGGTACATCTGCTTGTATGTTTTTATTGAATTAACGTATATATGTTTTTAATGTTTTATGTTTGCTGCCTTGGGGATCCTACTTGGGTGGCAGAGTGGCATAGATCTGTTTTCAATAAATAAATTGTATACGTTACATAGGTCCACTCATTGTAAGTAACCCTCTTCTCTTTACCCTGACAGTGCCCAGCGACCTGTCCCCCGAGGAGTGCCAGGAGCTTGAGAACATCCGGCGACGCAAGCAGGAGCTGCTGGCAGACATACAGGTAGGGGTGGGGCGGGGCGGTTCAGAAGAGACATAGCAGGGGTTGGATGAATGGGGGGCAGGGAGTGTGTGTCTCTGCTATAAACCAGCACTTCCTGCTATCCCAAGTTTCCTCTTGAAGGCTGTTTGGCTACTTTGGGGTACTTCTAGTCTTGGTGTCTGTGTTCTGGCTGCTGTCTCCCACTCTCTTTGGGATAGAAGTTCTTCTGGTGCCAAAATTCAGCCCTGGGAACAAGAGGGTAAAAATGAGAGTGCCTCTAAGCATGCACAGTGTTTCTTTCCTGAGTAACCACAGCCAACCCCCATACATCTTGTGCTGGTATCAGATGCTCCTTTGTAGCAACTTTTTACTTTTAGAAATAAAGCACCGGTGCTCCCAGCCCCCAAAACAAATCCAAAGAGCATTCTGTGCTTGGCAACCAGGAGGGAAGGGTTTACATGGTGGGGAGGGATTGAGCACATGTCTTGCAGACAGATCAGCTGCCGTGCTACTGGCTGCCTCAGCCAGCAGGAGGTGGGAGGTAGAGAGGTAAGAGATGGGGGGGGGGGAGTCCAATTAGCTAGCCCATCTTCCAAGCCTAAGCATCTTGGTGGATTGGGAGGGGGGATCTTCCACTCCACCTGCCTCTGGCCCTATCTGGACGCTCCTTGTGGCAATTAGAAGGTGGGGAGAAGGGTTGGGCTAGAGGACTGTCTGTCTTCAGTCCCTTTTTCATTTTCAGGGCTGTTTGAAATTGGTCCCCTCCTTTGAGATGGAGGGGGGGAGTCATCCTCTTCCAAAGGAATGTGTAATAACTTCTCCTGTGTCCTAGCTGCTCATTGCATTTACCACTAGCCTATTTGTGGCTGAGGCGTGGGGCTTCCTATTCACTCTGGCAGCTTGCTTCAGGGTGCTGTGTTTGGCAGAGATACTCATCAGCCCCGTCAGCAATAATTAAGGCAGCACAGAGGCTAATCACTGCCATATGCTGGCCACTTCCTAATGAGATTAGCCAGTAATTGAGTTAGCCCCAGGGGCTCCCTCTTCTTGCTTCCTTCCTAGAGGAACCCGGCCCATGGGTGCCACCTGCAGACTGCCATCCCCAGCCTGCCTGGCTTCTCAGCCAAGACGGAGCCCTGTGCTTTTCTTAGCACCCTACATTGGGGGGGGGGGGACCACAATGGGTGTCTGCAGCAGGCTTTGGTTAAAACGGGTGAGTATTGAAGGACCTGAAGTGCAGTGGTTGCGCCTTAGGCAGGAGAGAGACATCATTCCTGGCTATTATGTTTATGGTCATAACTCTGACCTCTCCTTCCTGTAAGAAGGCTCTGTGGACGTAAAGCCTTTCCGGTCTGTTCTGTGCCTCTCTTCTCCACTGATTTTCCTCAGGCCTGGAGTAATGATATTTGGAGAAGAGACATGGCAATCAGATAAGGCTGGAGTGACAGAAACCTTTCTCTTCATCTTGAAGTTCTTTTTTTTAATGCTGAGCAAGAGGCTTCCCCCTTCCATGGCCTTCCACAGTCATTTTCTCCCCCTTTCCCCCTATTTGCAGCGTCTGAAAGATGAGATAGCAGAGGTGACTAATGAAATCGAGAACCTGGGGTCCACAGAGGAGAGGTGAGTGCTGCTTTTGTTGGAAAGATGGGGAGGGAGAAAGCGGATGTTTGGGTTTTAATTTGGACATTTGGGAAAAAGGAAAATTGAGAAGAGTAAAGTGAATGCACTGCCAAAACCTCTGTAGTGAAGCTGAAATGAATTCTGCCATCACCTTGATACTTGGGCTCAAATGTACCCATTGAAACAGAACGGTCTATTTCTGGGGCAGCTTCTGTAAGGTAAAGGTAAAGGTTTCCCTTGCTTGAAAGCCAGTCAAATCTGACTCTAGGGGGCGGTGCTCATCTCCGTTTCCAAGCCGAAGAGCCAGCGCTGTCCGAAGACTTCTCTGTGGTCATGTGTCTGGAATGACTAAATGCCCACAGAACGCTGTTCCCAACGAATCTACTTGCAATTTCTTGCTTTCGAAGTGCTAGGTTGGCAGGAGTACTCCAGCGCAAATAACAGTTGGGCCATGTTGTGTATAAAAACATACCCACACAGAGATAAAGTTCCATACACGTGCACACGAAGGTTTATTGGATATGTTCCAATTACCTGGTAAAATCTCTTTGCTCGGTCTGCTGCCGAGTTCACTTGTCAGAGGAATAAGATTCTCTTGGTCTGGATTCCATCACAGTTGTGCACAGCACCTAATTTTTCTTCTCAGCCCTGGTCCACAGAGCAGCATCTTTGACTGTGTTCAGGCCCAATAAGCTGAGGTGTAGGCTGCATTAATCTGTGGAGAGGGATGGGGTGACTGAAACACCCTGCCCTGTGAGCAACTGGTGCCGATTAGAGGAATCTCTTGTAGTGTTATCAAAAGATCTCTGGCTTGATCACTCAGTGAGTTTTCCTCTGTTCTCCCTGCAGCAGCTAGGTTTTTGCTACTTAGGGCAACCCAGGAGGCTTTGGGCTCCTCCATGTCTGCATCTCAGGGCAGACTGAGGCATATTCAGGGGCAGACCTGCTGATTTATGCCATTTCCCTGCAGCAGGCTCCATTCTAGAGCTGGAATGCATTCACACTCCACAATACTCTGTTGGGGGCCTGAGAGGTGTTATCCCTTTGGGTGGCTGGGAGGGAATGGTAGTTGCCTGTGTCTCAAGACCTTGGCTTCTGGGTGGGAGTGGAGAGGGAGGCAGTACACCCTGTCTGAGATGGGAACAGAGAAGAGCTCTGTTCTTAGCCTTGCTTGTGCCTGTGATGAAGCATGAGGCAGAGAGGCTTCACGAAGTAGTGGCCACTGGCTGTGCCTAACCAAATCGGTCATTTTTTGTGCCATCTAGGAAAACAATGCAGAGAAACAAGCAGGTGGCAATGGGCAGGAAGAAGTTCAACATGGACCCTAAGAAGGTAACGATCGCTGCCTGACTGAGGGCCAAGAACTGTGGTGAGGTCCTCCATGGTGGACTGGACTAAAAGGGTCTGAACACAAAACAGCTAGTTTCATTTTGAACACCTTGGCTGAATTTGATCTCTGACTCTGATTTATTCATTTATCTCACTCTGATCAGTTTCTTCCTTATTGGAGTCTCATGCTTCCCTTGTAGCACCTTCTTAATGGAGGAAACTAGGGTGGAGATGTTTCTTATCTGCAGAGCTCATTAGATCATGACCCCTGCACTTTACAATAGCCCTGTGAGGTGGGTTAAGCTGAGAGTGTACAATTCTCACTCAGTGAATGTCACGGTAGAGTGAGGACTTGAACCTGCATCTCCCCAGTCCTAAGTTGCATTCAGACATTGTGCCATTCTAAGATTTGTCTGTGACAGGAGTTAGGGGAGCGATTAAGTATGGCAACAAGCTGTGCTTGTGCCCACCATGGCTAAATCTCTCCCCTCGCCTCCCCCCAAATCCACAGTGTGGCCTACCTTCAGGTCTGATGCAAAAATTGCTAAGATAGTTTATGTGATGCATTTGGAACAACTGAAATGTGCTGCATGCATGCTAAGTACTGAGTCAGAGTTGTAGCTTGTTGTATGAAGGGAATCTGGAGAGAGACTCTCCCCTCTTTGTGTTTTCAGGGGATCCAGTTCTTGATTGAAAATGACTTGCTGAAGAACACATGTGACGACATTGCCCAGTTTCTCTACAAGGGGGAAGGGCTCAATAAGACAGCCATTGGAGATTACTTGGGTGAAAGGTAATCAGATGGGTGTGCTGGGGCTCTCTGTGCATGATGCTCAGCCTGCTCTCAGGAGCCATATTGTAACTTGCTTGGCTTGCTATTTCTTGGCAACATTCAGGAAGGGATTTGGACATGGTATATGTGTGGTGGTCTCTAGATCCAACTATGCGTGGCTCTTTTTCATGGCTTTGAGCTTACCATGTGGACTGGCTGAGGAGCACTTTGTGGTCAAGATCTTTCTGTGCCTCTGGCCATTTGGAGTGTTTCTGTGGTCTGACTCCTGGTAGAGAGATTAACTAGAAATGCCAGATGAGATTGGGCCTGTATAACTGCTGTCTCTGCAGCTGGGCAGTGCTTCACAGTGCTTCCCAAGAGGTATCCTGCATAAAATCTAGAAGTACCCTGTGTTCTTAACCACCCGGAACACTTACAGTAGCTTCTGAATAGACTGTAGACCATATTCAAGGCCTGATGGCATGTTGATTCAACTCCCCCCCCACCACCATGATGATTCAAGTAGGCAAGAGGGATGGATGGTGTAACCTGTGGCAACAGTATGTTGTAGCGTAGTGGTTCTTAACCTTTTTGGGGTCATGGAGCCCTTTGATAATCTGGTGAAAGCTACAGACCCCCTTGGCAGGAAGATGCACGTAACCACATGCACACAAAATTCACCATGACCCAACATAAACAAAGGCAAATGTCCATAATCATAATAGCAGGGTATTTTTTAAGGTCCTATTAATGGGAAACTTTTCTAGATGACATAACGTGGTGACAGTGTACACACCTGACTGTGTACAGTACCATCCCATGCCACCCTACTCTTGGAGTAAAGCAATGCTTTAATGACATAAATGGTTTTTCGCAATTTTTTCACAAATGAACAGTAAGGAAAGCAAAGAAAAATATTTTTGCCCAGTTCATGGACCCCGTATGGGTCCATAGATCTCAGGTTAAGAACCCCAGCTGTAGAGTCATTTGCTTGCTCTCACATTCACTCTGTTCTTTTTCCCCCTCTAGAGATGACTTCAATATCCAGGTGTTGCATGCATTTGTGGAGCTGCATGAGTTTACTGACCTCAATCTAGTGCAGGCACTGCGGTGAGTAATAGTGGGAACTCAGGATCTGTGTCCAGCAGAGCTGTAACTGAAACTCTCCTTTTCTTGTTTGTGTCACTTATTTGCATTATATACACATTTACATAGGTTGGTGATGCCTAAGAAATTCCCAAGATAAAACTCCTGTGTTTTGTGGGAAGATGAGTCAGTTTTGCTATAAGTAGCCAGTTCTCTAAGACATTTTATAGTCCTAACAGAGTATAAGACAAATTCATGCTTTCTGCTTGCACAACTCTGTTGCACCTGCAGGCAGTTCCTCTGGAGCTTCCGGCTGCCAGGGGAAGCTCAGAAGATTGACAGGATGATGGAGGCTTTTGCACAACGATATTGCCAATGCAACCCTGGTGTCTTCCAGTCCACAGGTATTGTCTTGAACTGTACAGCCAGGGGTCTAGGAAGGAATTGGCTAAAAATGATAGCAGAGTATCGTCTAGAGTTTTCATTGCTTAATCTTCTGGCAAGCTCCTGAGTGTTAGGGGAAGGGATTAGACATCTTCACAGAGGGTAGGTTTATAAGAAACTAATTAGCCTTTAGTGTGCCTCTGAATACCAGGTGCTACATGGGGGGTGGGAGAAGCAACAGGTAGTGGAGAGTTAATGCTGTTTGTCTGGTTACTGTTGGAAACAGGATGCTGGATGAGGTGGACCTTTTATCAGATCCATCAAGACTGCTGTTATGGAAAGGGGGGAAAGGCTGGCTATTTCTAGTGGCTCTTGAGTCAACAAATCCTCATGGCTGTCTGGCATCTAACCATTTGAATTTTACGCACTATATCAAAAGGTTTCTGTTCACCTAGGCTTTTAGTTTTGCTTGGTTTGGCCAACAAAGAAGATTTGGCACTCTTAACATCATTTCAGCCCTGGCCCCCTCTGGGGAGTGTGTGTGTGTGTGTGTGTCTGTGTCTGTGTGTGTGTGTGTGATTTATGGTACCTCAACCTACTTCATTCTGTTTATGATTATTTTAAGGATTCAATGTGTTCAGTAGTTTTTGTAGTTGATGAGTTGTATTTTTAAATTGTAAGCTACATGAGATTTGAAGTGGGGAGTTTCGTTCTTACATTTGTATTCTGATTTTCAACCACGAATAGGAACACTACCCCCACCCCACCCCCAAACACACACTGGGAGGCAGTTAATAACCCAAGAAGTTTGACTTGCAACATGGGGCTTGATGCTGTGTTTGGTCTAACTTGGCACCAGACGTGTGCCTCGATCATGGAGGCCAAAAGGGTAGCCCACTCAGCGCTTGATTCCCCCTCTCACTCCTCTTGCCTCACTTTACCACAGATACTTGCTACGTGCTCTCCTTTGCCATCATCATGCTCAACACCAGCCTGCACAACCCCAATGTCAAGGACAAGCCGACAGTGGAGCGTTTCATCGCCATGAACCGTGGCATCAATGATGGCGGAGACCTGCCCGAGGAGCTGCTCAGGGTGAGCTCGGTGGGGGATTGGAGTGGCATTTTGTTAACAAGGGGGTGTGGCTAGATGCTGGGGAGGGGGTGGGGGTGAAATCCCATGCATTTAAGGAAGTGGCAGCTGGATTCATGCAGACAGAAGAGGCTGATCGTCGTGCACGTCTCACTCCCTACCAGAACCTCTATGAGAGTATAAAAAATGAACCTTTCAAAATTCCCGAAGATGATGGCAATGACTTGACACACACCTTCTTCAACCCCGACCGTGAAGGCTGGCTTCTGAAACTTGGTGAGTATGTTTGTGCGAGGCTTAGCTGGAGCCACAGGGAGCAGGGTCACTGTTGCCATAGCATGGGTTGCAGGGAGCTCTGCAGGAGTCTGGTGACCTTTTTTATGCATGGGGCTTTGGAGGGGGCCACAGTATAGTGCAGGAGGTCATTGCAGAACTCGGAGACTTCTCATCGTCCTGCGTGGGCAGTGTATCCAGCAAAAAGGAGGGTCTTGACTGCAATGCTTAGTTAACTTCCTGTGGTCCTCTACAATTGGGTGTGGCCAGCCAGTTCTTGCTACAACGGTGTGGGAAGAACAGATTTATGGTGATGGGAAAGACACCTTGGCTTTGTGAATCCCAGGAGCAGCAGGGGAAAAATGCAGTTTTCCCTGATTCTGAGCACCAGACTGGTTTTGAGCACTGTGCTTCTCACCTCCACATTGCAAACTCTTATCTGGCATCACGGCACACCTCACAGCTTGTGCACACACAGGCAGTGCATGCATGGCATCCTCGAGACATTCACCAGCCCTTCCTATGCACTTGCCACTCTTTACCAGCTCATTCCAACTTTTCAGTTTCCTTGCTGTTGTTTGGCCTGGCCAGGGTCAAGGTTTTTTTTTACCCCCTCCCCTTCAGGGCTCTTAAATCTCTTGGAATCTGCAAATCAAATTTGAAAACTCCAATCCTCTGAATATTCAGATTTGCCATTGTTGAATCTTTTATGAAATATGACTAATGGAATTATTCATCTGTGTTTGAATGTGACCTTTTCTGATTTTGCTGTATATCTTCTATGAATTAAAGTAAAACAGATGCTTTTGATTCCAAGGGAGGCAGGGAAGTAGCTTTGATGAATGGTATCTTATCTGAGACTGGGTTAGAGGCCTCTGTTCTGCCCTCTGAAGTCTACTACTCCTTTTCCTTTCAAGTAAGGTCTTGCAGAAGACTGTAATGAATGGCTATATGTTGTTCACTAAGGAAAACAACCAAGGCTGTACAACACTGCAGCGAAGCCTGGAAGCAGGCCTGCCTGGGCTGTTGGAGTACACAGTTAAGGGCAATGTAACTTGTACTTGGAGCTGCGGTGGCTCAAGTGGTTAAGACACTGAACTGCAGGCTGTGGAAGGTCAGTAGTTCAGCAGTTCGAGACCCGAGTTGCTGCATGATGGAGTGAGCTCTCGTCTCTAGTCCAGCTCCTGCCAACCTAGCATTTCGAAAGCAAGAAATTGCAAGTAGATAAATAGGTACCACTTCGGTGGGAAGGTAACAGCGTTCCGTGCGCCTTGGTGTTTAGTCATGCCGGCCACATGACCACGGAAACGTCTTCGGACAGTGCTGGCTCTTCAGCTTTGAAACGGAGATGAGCACCGCAACCCTAGAGTCGGACTCGACTGGCTTTTGAGCAAGGGAACCTTTACCTTTTTAACTTGTACTTAAAGAAGACCTGAAGCTTACCAGTTTTAGATATACACATAAGCAGCAGATATGTGGCTACTTGAAAACACAGTTACATGTTACTCCAGCCCTCTAGCAGAAACCACTTGGTTTGCTCGGGAACTGTGTGTCATTTCTGTTCCTCAAGAGATGTACTGAGAAAAATGTACTTGATTCTGCACCTCAACTAGCACGGGAGGGAGTAGAGGTTCAGTTCTGATGGGTGAATATTTTCTGGCTCCTTGCTCTTGACTCCTTGGCACTGCTTTAGATTCATACTGTGCAATGGAGTCAGGGTGTCGGTCCTGTTCAAGACACCAGAGAATTCATCCACAATGGAGGGCTTGGATTTATTTTTTTGTTTTTTCTCTCCCTCCCCTTCAAATAACTTCCTCTGAAGCTGTGGAGTTCAAGCTATAGGAGCAATTAACTGACTCTCTAGTGACAACATAAAGGAACGGTACACACTTCCCTAGCAAAAGGAATTTGTGTGCGGGGCAAGATACAGAATAGCTGCAGTATCTATGCAGAGTGCTTAAGCTGTGCATATAGGAGGATCTGGGGTTTTAGCTACAGTGTAGAGTGAAGGTTGCAAATACAGAGGAGGCTGATGCAGCTGAGCCAGCATACATTCTACATCCAGACCTAGCCTTAGGATGACTTTTGACATTTAAGACACATTAAGCCAAGAGTGTTTTGAACTGATACTTAAGAATAGCTGCCACTTCTGGACTGCATATGCAGATACACAGATGGAGATAAATATACACAAACAGAACAAAAGATAGTCATGTCTGTAAGCATGGTAAGTTTCCAGTCTATTGTGGATTTCGTACAAGTAATATGGCTTCACTATAGTCAAGTTCGATATAAAAACTGATACACAAAACAACATACATTATAGCTAGCAGGGATGAACCTATGAACACATGATGCTGCTTTATGCTGAGCCATGCTGTTGGCTTTTCAAGGTCAGCCTATTCTGGCTGGCAGTGGCTTTCTAAGGTGGAGGTCTTTCATGTCACCTTGTACCTGATCCTTTTAATTGGAGATGCCAGGGACTGAATCTGGACCTTTTGCATGCAAAGCAGCTGCTCTACCACTGATCCATGATCCCTCCCACAGTTAAAGTTGCCCTATACCAAGTCAGAACATTGTTCCGTCTAGCCGAGTATTAGCGGCTGTGACTGGCAGCAACTCTGTGGCATTTAAGTAAAGAAAGGTCTTTCCTGGCATCTGCTAACTAAGAGCCTTTAACTGGAGGTTCCAGGGTCTGAGCCTGGGACCTTCTGCATGCAAAGCGTGTGCTCTACTGCTGGGCCATGGGCTGCTTTGATTTTAACCCTTTTATGGTATTGGTAATGACCTACACAGCTCGCTTCTATCAAATTAAACAAGCTTTGATTGAAAGAAAAAGGACTGAGGATTTCAAAAAATGGGTTCAAATTATAACTCTCATGTCCCAATCTCAAGAAACATTCCCCAGACCTGTGCTGGTATGCATGTCTGTTTGGGTACAAAGCTATTACACTTCAAATTTTGATTGTCATTAAAAGCATGTGAATACTAATGTAACAAGTACAAAGACTGCACTGAGAACTCAGTTCAGCTTGAACTCTGGGTATTCCTTTTGTGGCTTTCTCCCTTGGGAGCATTAGAAGGGTGTGGGACAAACAGCCATGAACATTTTTTCCTAAAAAATATATGCCTTCTGTCGGGAGAGGGGGGTGAGCTGAGAATCAGTCCAGACTGCAGCCATACCGAAACCGGACTCTTTGGTTCTCAGGACTGGCTTACAGCTACAGCTCTCTAGGGGTAATACGCCAGGGGGGAAATGGGGCTAATGGGACCTTGGAGAGGTCATTGTATCTATGATGCTCCCAGCAGAGGTGGTAGCCACCAGAGGTAATACTTGGTGATCCAGGATTACAGAGAAATGAGTCCTGGCTTGGCAGAGTTCCAGCTTGGTGCCCTTGTTGATGCATGCCATTCCCACAAAACTATCCACGGAAGTGTCCTGGCTGCAAGCCATTTTACCACTTACCTTGGCACTAAAATCACTAACTAACCCTGGTTGCCTGTTCCTGTGACAAACGTGTTGGTGATGCTGCCAGAATGTCCTTAATTAGGACCTGGGTAAACGCTCCTGCCAGAAAAAAAATCAAATGGCTGCTGTATTCTTGGACTTGGCATGCTGGTGACCCGGAAGCTGCTGGCTGGCCATGCTCCCTTCTGAGTATTTTAGAGGAGAGGGGAACCTGTATAAACAACATCCAAGATGTTGGCCTAGCTTTAAGACAAGCCCTTCCTCCTACCCTTCCCTACTGCTCAAAACCTTTTCGCTCGGGAAGCACCCCTTGTTGACTACAATGGGGTGTTCACCAAGGGCAAGTTAAAAGTCCTTTGTTTTTTAATTTTCTTTTCTCCCTCATTTTGTATGTTTCCATGATTTTGGCTCTACCTTCCCCTGCCCCCCAAACTCCAGGAGGTACGTACCCCAATATCCCCTTGCTAGCTTTGCTGGGGCCAGGGGTGTGCTGCAGTGCTTGTTTTTTTATTTTTCTGTTCTCTTTTTATTTTAAATTGCTGGTGATTTAGTCTTATTGCTGCTGTTGCTAACTGGCTGCACAGTCCCTGGGGAACTGGGAGAGAGGGGGGACAGGGGAATGGGGGGTCCAGAAGCACCTGTTCTGTGAGGCACAAAAATAGAGAGCGAGAAGCCCCTAGGTGGAATAATGCCCAAATCTGGTAGTTTTCTTTTCCCCAACACTCAGGATTTTGAGAGTCAGTCTTGGGCTCTTTGGCATTTCTTTTAGGGGGCTGTAATGGGGGCAAAGCCGTCTTGAATGCCCTAGTCCTAAACTGACAGCTTTATTTGGGCTGGAGAAGCAGTAACCAGAGAGGTCCTGCCTTTTCAGATGTTTGCATTGCATTCTTACTTGAAGCAGGTGTGTGGCCTCTTTCCTGTGTTGTGATTTGTGTAGAGAAAGTGCACATGCTTTAAATTGTTAGGTGAACTCTGAGTTCCACTTGCTTCAGTAGGCATGTGGGGCTTCAGACTGGCTTCTTGGAGCTCTATAAAAACCCTTTCCAGAGAGCAGAGCTCTGCACAACCATAACCGATCCATCCAGATGATATTCCGGCATACATCTGGAGAGACCCTAACTATTTCTAGCCGGCAGAAAAAGGTGTTGCTTGTATAATAAAGACTAATCAAGTATTAATCCCATTAAATTGATGCATGCTGGTGGTCACTTTATGCTCAAAGCCTAATGGTGAAGGAAAGAGCCCTGCTTATGCATCTGGTGGGATCTCAGTCAGTTGGGGAAGTACTGCCAAGTCAAAATGTTAAACCTTTGTATGCTGATCAGATCATCATTGGGTCATGCCACGGTTCTTACCAGTCCATTTATATGTCACTGTAAATCCTTTACCATCTCTAGCCCTTCGATTTCTGCTACAAGCGTGCAAAGTAGGTGATCTCTTTTCCCCCCAATTTTAGTGAGAACACTTGAGGCAGAGATGGATTTTTGCGTGATGCCATATAATGAATCCATGGCCAAGAAGGTCTTAGTCCTTTCCTTCATATGTGGGAGACCTCTAGCTTCCACATGCTTTAAAAAAGGCAGCATTTAACACATCCATGGTGTTGTATCAGCATACTGTGCAGCTATATTTTCAAGAGTTTCTTGACACTCATAAAGAGGTTCAAAATCATACTATTTAATCAGCTGAAATTCTTGTAACTTCATTTGAATCTACCTTATACCAAGTTGCACCATTGATTTGTTGAGTTCAGTATTATCTACTCTTGGACTTGGAGTTGCTCTTCAGGCTCTGAGGTGGAGATGGCTGTTTCCTGCCTGAAAACCTTTGAGCCAGGGATTGAACCTGGGACCTTTTGCATCTAAAGCAGGTGCACTAAAAGGATACCATAGCAATACTCCTGGCTTCTAATTTTAATGTCTTTTGTCTCATGGCTGAGAGGGGGGGGGAGCTGACCTATTATCTCAGCCTTTAAACTTACACACTAGAGAGATTTTATATCCCACAGTCCTAATTAAAAGTTCATGAACTGGCTACTTGACAGCAAATTAGGCTACTCCAGAACAACTGCATGGAACTTAAATTGGGAATTTTATGTGGACTTGGCTGTACAGTGAGTGGAAGGGCCTGAAAAGAATGGTTAGAAAAAACTTGTATACCACATCTCCATCTCTCGTGATATCCTGGCCTCTGTAAGTACATTATGGAAGAACCAGTTTTGAAAACAGCTTCAGATAACACAGCCTTGTTATCCTAAATCAACAATCCCGCCTTGGGCTTCTCACAAGGTATCTAGAGACATCACCCACGTTCTTGCTCCCATGCTTTGCATCCCTTTGTGAATTCAGGAGCAAGTAAGAACTGCTGCCTGATGATTCAGGGGTTCTCTTCCTCAATTGTTGATTCACCCATTTAGTATTACATTACCTCAATGTGTAATGTTCCAGCTGGCATTGGAGTGTCATCTCTCCTTGACACAGCCTGTTTGAACCCTTGCATGACAAGGCAGCCAGCCTAGAAGTCACTTCATAGTGTACTCATTTGCTCCCTTTTGCTTTATTGGGGAGGGTCTCTTACCTTCTGCTGAGGTGAAGTGGACCATCCCATGATCTCAGGGAATTGCAAGAAGTGGTGGGGCCTTCTGTGTTCCCTGGGGACTGTGACAGGCACTATCTGGAGCAACTGGCTTGTTGTGTCTTGTGTGTATGTTGCTGAATGGGGCATCAGTGTTTGTATGTGGCTGTAAGAGTTTCTCTGGGAGGGCTTCTGCTTATAAATTCTGTATCCTTAATCTGTGGTTAGATAACCACCATTCCCTTGGGCTTCAGCAAGCGGTGAATGCTAGCAGAAGGTTTTCAAAGCTATTATCCCCACTCCCAGGTTTCTGTAGCCTTGCTTGCCCGTGGTCACCTGACACTCTGATCCCATGTGGATCTGTATGATGCACTTGTGGTGCAGCCTTTGACTGAGGTAGGCCACCTCTAGTCTGAAGAAACCTATGGACTTATATCCTCTTGTGTATAATTTTCCCATCAGTGAGGGCAGGCAGCTTGCTTTAGAAGCCACTCTGTGTATTTTCTGTCTAGAATAACTCAAGCTGTATTGTTTTGGCAGTTTCAGGATCTCTTTCCAGACATCAGGGATTATTTGTTATGATTCCCAGTTTGTATAAAGGCTGGTGCATTTAACTTCCGCTTTACCCAGGCTTCTGAAGTTGAATCCTGCCTTGTTGATGGCCTCTTTGATTTCCTGGATTAAAAATCTTGGCTGGGCCTGAGCACTCAAAGGTTAGCATCAGCTTGGAGACAGGAGTGTGCAGGGGCCCTATGGTGGTCTCAGGGAGGGAAACCCGACTCTCCCCCATCTAATAGGTGCCAGTTCTAAACTGTCATCCCCCCCCCCCCCCCGTGATAGGAACTGGATCAGGGAAACTTTCCTTCTGAGAGATGATTGTTTTAATGGGTTCCTGGTGGTGATGGCTATAAGTCAGGCCTCATAGCTCCCTCTTTTTTCCTGTGAGGAACTCAGCCTGTATTTCCTGTTTCATTCTGCACCCAGCTTGAGTGCCACGTTGTCATCTCTGGCTTGGCTTTTGTGGCCTTGTGCTCAAAAGCCATGCTGATAGGAAAGCTGTTCCTGTCATATACATTCCAGGTGGTCCAAGGGAAAAATGAACAAGAATGAAATAATACCCTTATTCAGATTTTGTCACTGTTCATCCCCAGGGCTTTTGCTTTACCCTGAATAGCATGTGGCAGGACAGGACAGGGTGATCAAGGCCAAGGCCCAAAATGGTTCATACAAGTCTACCTTTCTCTCTTGATAGCTGGCTTTCAGATTCTCCCTGATAGGTAATTCTTTATAGGGAAGATTATTCTACACTCTCCCTTCTATCTATTTTAAAATACCCGGGACTGACTGTGGATCAAGATGTTCAGGTAGAAGGCCTAGGCCCCAAGCATCATCTTATGGAGAACATCTGTGACTATGATGTGATAATGGGAGATGTGTGTGTGGATCTTCCACACTTCGAGAGTGCCATAGGGGTCCTTAGTTTAAATAGAGGACATGGAGGGGGGGATAATCCTTTTTTTTCCCCTACCAGTTGCACCCTGGAGATACTAATATGCAGGCATCCTGGATATATGCCCCATTGGGGTAAATATCCCCCCTGAGGATTAAGGTAGTGAAAAGGGGTTAACGTCTCCTGTCCTGATTTGAATTGCCCCATCTTCTCTCCCCCCCCCCCAATACCTATAGAAGCATTGGAGATCTTGCACAGATCACTCCCCTTTGTCACAGCCACTTTTGTCCTGAGCTTGAATTGTGAACCATATCCCAGCTCTGGCTTCTTCTCCCCTCAGGTGTGGTGAGATCTGTGACTGCCACCTTTCAACTGCAATGTACAGAGTAGGGTCTTCCCCCCCACCACCACCACCTTCCCCCCCGCATCACTGTTGCGATCACCATGTAGCCACCTGCCACTGTGGTGTGGCTCTGCTTCTGCTCTTTGACACTGCTCGCTCCAACACATGTCTGTCCATGCTGATAAGCTCTAGCTCTGTCTTCGCTGCTTATGTGCCCAGAGCCCTGCCTTTGGCCTGGGCATGCATTGTCAAGCTTGCTTCTTCATTGTGCAGGTGGACGGGTGAAGACGTGGAAACGGCGATGGTTCATCTTGACAGATAACTGCCTGTACTACTTTGAGTATACCACGGTGAGTGGCAAAGGAGCATACTGATTATCCATGCACACATGTGTGTGTGTATGTACATTATGCACACAGGAGTATGCATGCAAGAGGAATGCTAATGTATGACCCTGAAAGAGGGACCATTGACTGCAAGCAGGCCTTTTAGATATCTGGTCTGATTTATTTCAGAAATAGGGTGTGTAGCTGAGCTCCCTAAGCTTCAACTAAGGTTTATGTCTAGGATAGGAGTCCCCAAGCTTTTTGAGCCTTTGGCCACCTTTTGAATTCTGCAACAGGTTGGTGGGCACAACCACAAAATGGCTGCCACACGAGGCAGAGCCACACACACAACCAGAGGAAATTCAAGTATGGGGGAAAGAGTGGTAATTTTAAAATTACACCAGGAAAGAGGAATGAGACAGAGAATAAAGCCAACACTGTGGGGGGCAGTCACCCTTCTTGAATCTGCATGGCCAATCAGATCTTCAGTGGCCAGTCAGAAGTGGCCCCACCTACTCTCTCCAAACACTTGGCTGGCATCAGGTACGTTGTCCATGAGCCCCCAGGTGCCCAGAGACACCATGTGGGAGGTCTCTGGTCTAGGAGAAGGGGATATCTTCCGATATGTTCAGTTTTGGGATGGAAAAGCATGCAGTGTTACTAGTATGACCGAGCACAGTCCTTGTTAAATTCACAAGTGGTCATTCCACAGGACAAGGAACCACGAGGCATCATCCCATTGGAGAATCTGAGCATCCGTGAGGTAGAAGATTCAAAAAAGCCAGTAAGTGCTACGCCTAGGAAAGTTCACTGATTGGGAGGGTGGAAGCCAAGGGTGGTGTATATTTGGTGTTACAGAAACAGCTGCTAGTAGAGCTACATTCTGCACAATGAAATCCCTCACTGGAAAGCCTGCTGTGGAGAGGCTTCTGAAGCGTCACCAGGTCTCACATTTCCAAGCAGCTCTAAAGGACAGAAGCTTCATTTGATTGATGCTGAATGTTGCACTCTGCGACATTTTTGATGCTCGCACAGCAAAAATGCAGAACATTCAGGGACCTGATGGAGATCTCTACATAGTGATGAGCTCTGTAGAATTAGGATAAGGAGAGACACCACCTTTAGCGTTCCTGTTAGCTCCCTACTCTAAAATGTTTTGTCAGGAATGGGAGTCAGCTTACCTCAGGCAACCCGACAATCTGTTCTCAGCTGGTCTACAACCCTGGTCTTGAGGGTAGCTGCTTTGGGCCAGAAACCATGTTAGTTTGGGGAAAGAGGCCCTTAAACCATGTTAGTTTGGGGAAAGAGGCCCTTACAGAGAACAGCTTTCCTAGCAGGAGTCCGTGCACAGGAAATCTGTAGGGAATCTGACATTCATTGCAGAAATCTTGTGACTTCTGGCCAAACCCAGCAGGCAAGGGAATGCTCCACATCGTGATATCCCAGGAAATCTCAGAGTTTGGAAGTCACGGTGACCACCAATCCTCCCCACCTTTCCCCTCTTGCAGAATTGCTTTGAGCTGTATATTCCTGACAACAAGGACCAGGTGATTAAGGCCTGCAAGACTGAGGCAGACGGGCGTGTGGTAGAAGGGAACCACACTGTGTACCGCATCTCTGCACCCACCCCAGAGGAGAAGGAAGAATGGATCAAATGCATCAAGTGAGCATGAATGGGAGGGGAGGGGAACCTGGGGACTTTGCTGGGACTTGAATAACAGGCACTGGGATGCCTGGCTAGAACAGGGGAAGGATGTTCATTCATTTGTTTCTTTGTCTACATTCCCACAAAGGGTTGTGGTTTGATTCTGGACTTTGTGGGAGTTCAGAAGTAGCTCTGAATGGGTCCCCTGTTCCAAGGAACACTTCCTCTTACTGATCTTTTGTCCAGGGATTTTGGGGGTGGGGGGGCATCCCTGATCAGTTCTGGATCTTTCCTAATTCATCTTCTCTCCCTGCTGTATTTTCCACATTTGTTTCCCTTCAGAGCTGCTATCAGCCGGGACCCATTCTATGAGATGCTCGCAGCACGCAAGAAGAAGGTGTCCTCCACCAAGCGACATTAGTTTCCCTGGTCTACTTGAGTGGTGGCAGCGGCAGCATTGGCAGCTGATGCCTCTCAGTCCCCTGGCAGAGGGGGGAAGAGACTGTGCAAAACCACCTGCCATCCGGGGTGGGGTGGGGGACTAGCTTCAACTTCTGCTATTCTTTTCTGGCTTGGGAGCAGGAGGGAGGGGCTACACTGATAGCAGCCCTTTGCTGACTCTTATCTACAAGGAGGCCATCATCCCTGCTAGTCCCTCCACTGGTCTGCTTGAAGCCATCGTCAGTAGTCCAAAGGTCAGGAAGAGAGGCTGTCGTTCTCTTCCACTCCCCACCAATATTGGCTCACCTGTTCATTGCTTGAGCTGGTGGGGGGGGAGGCAGAGTGTGTAATGTAGGCTGTGCCTCCCAAAGGGGCAAAACTCCATTCAAGCTGCCATTGGGAAGACTCACTGTGCTAGGTGTTGGGCTGATACCCTGAGACCCAGAACTAGGCATGGACTGTGTACTGTGAGGGCACTGATGGCTCTGCAATAACAGGGGGGTCAAGACTCTAGCTTTGCAGCACAGAGATTCCTGTGCCACTCTGTCATGACATTACTACCTTTTTTCTTTAGTTGAGCAAGCCTTTTTGGCTTGTTTCCTCCCAAAAGCAATTGAGCTTCTTGATTTCCAGGGGGTTCTCCTTAATAAGAAATTTTATGAACTTTGTGGGGTAAAGAGCAACTGAGAATGTCAGCCCTCAGCAACTAACATGCGGAGCAGCGGGTCAGCCACCTCCAAAAGCTTTACTGCCCTTGTTCTAGAGGGCACTGACTTAGGCTGTCTCTGAGGCCAGCACGGGGCTCACGGCTCCACTGTGCCCTCAGGAGAAGGTGGGGCTCTTGTGAGCCTGGGGAGGAGCACGTGTGGCTGTGCTTGAGCTGGTGGGGTAACCCTTGCTGACGCTTTACAAGGGCGTCCTGTCAAGAGCTGCTGGAAAGCGTGTCACCCGGCAGTTGGGCATGATCCTGTCATGTGCAGGCAGCCCAGAGCACTTATCCGTTGTTACCTTTGCAGCTGGTAGCCCAACATCTTGAAGAGAAGAGCGCTGGCAGCATTCCTCACTCTACAGAAGGAATTAGTGTAAAAGGGGTGTCTGTCTTGCTGCAGTTGCATTTTTCTGCAGGGATGGGGGCTGGGTGGGTTAGGGTAGAGGCTGCCCTGAAGCACAAGCAGGTGGGCGGTGTGGGGGAGCCCGTGGGAGGGGGGACTGAGGGTGTGATGGGTGGGGCTGCTGATGTTTGAAGTATGCTGCCGGGGAGTTTCTGGCTGCCTTGAGGTTTGTGTGTGTGTGTGTGGGGGGGGGTGATCTGTTAATAGATTGCCTTCCCCTTGATAAAGGATCATGGTGCTCTTCATCCATTGGGCTCCTTGGCAAACTCCGCTTTCCTGGCTCAGTATTGGACTATTTATCTGAGGTGTACATACTCTCTGTATAGATTTTTTTTCCTCTCCCTTTAGATTTATTTGTATTTGTTTTAAATAAGAAAACCTGTTTTTGTGAAACAGAAGAGGATTCTGAAGCATTGCTGTGGCACAAGGGGAAAGCAAGGGGGTTGTGGGAAGGGGGTGGAAGGTATTCCTGGTCAAACCACTTGGGGTACAGTTTTATTCTGAATCCTTTTCCTTTCTTAATCTTTGCCACAACCCTGTGATCTAGCACAGAGCAACTGCAGCAAATAAATGTCGATCTCACACTAGTCTCAGTCTCCACCTGTGTCTTCCTGGTCTCCAGTTATGTGGATTTCCTGTTTTGTTTGGGACAGTCACATCCTCAGTCAGAGTCTGGTGTGTTGGGCGGCTGGAGGTGGGTGTGTGATGAGTACCAGGGCAAAAATTGAAGGGAGAGCAGTGGGTGGGTGGGTGGGCAGCATAGAGTGGGAGACCAGAGTGCCCTCCTCACCTGGGCACATAGCAGCAGGCACACATGGCAAAGAGCAGAAACCCCGGGTACAGCCAGGAGGTGCCAAATCGTAGCCCTTTGGTCCTTCTGAAATAATGGTGAAATAATGGTCCTCTCAGAAGAAGTAGGTGGCAGGCACTGTTTTCTAGCCACCTTTTAGTTTGAACACTGGGTGCGATATACCTGGAGCAGAGGTATTAGTGGGCATGTTCCCTGCCAATAGCCATTTGTGTGAGATTCACCTAGCTTCATTTTCCAAGGAGTCGGTGCCTCTTTTCTATAAGACCAGACAACCCTGGTCTCATGTATGAAAGAGGTGCAAAAACTACACAGTCCTACACTTTCCTCAGAGTTAGCCTGTCTGAGCTATCTCTTAGGATGTGTGTAGATGAGGCTTATATGCCGTGTTGTCCTAGGTCAGTTGTGTGTATGTATGTATATATATGTGTACGTGTGTGTGGGTGTATATAAATGTACAACAGGTACAGGGGTTTATATACTAGAAAAATGAAGAAATGACATAAATGCCAGGGATGGGGGTAGGGGGAGGATTCTTAGCAGTTGAGTGAAGTGCATGATCTACTCCATTTACAGGTAATCAGTGCTACATTTGAATTGTAGAATTTCCAGCCTTGCAATTTGTAGAATGAGAAGTCAGATTAGGGAATTTGCTTCCTTTCAGAATGTTACCTTTGTGCGTGGTTAGAAGATGCTCCCAAAATGTAGACTTCCAAATGTGTCTAATACAGACCAAATATACCTTAAAATGAATTTATGAAAATATTAATTGGTGATTTGTGAGGCTAATAGCAGGAATGAAAAGGGAAATATCGGTAAGGGCAGTCAGGAAGTCTCAACCTCCATCCTCAGGAAATCAAAATCCTTAATTTTGTTTCTGAATTTTTAGCACATACTGTTTCCTGGCATATACACAAGACACAGGGATTACATTATCTCTGTGTGTGCAAAATTCGTTTCCGAAATACCCACCCTTTTAAATTGCTCTTAGAATTATTGGTTTAAGTAAGCTTAGAAAAGTAGTAGATTGTCAGCTTCATATTCACCACCACTTGCCCACTGCCCCTTTCAGCATCTACAGAAATGCTCAGTAATGGGACTGCCTTTATTTAGTAATGCATGCTAACAAGATTGCCGAGGTGTTACAGGATAGCAGTTTCTTTATTGCAGCTGCTGTGTCTCCTCACTCAAAGTCAGATGGGTGATGCTACACTTCATGGGATTATTTGTTACCGTGTCCCTGAAAGTTTTAATGGGCTCTTGTACTGGATTATGAAGATCTGACCTTAGACTCCCTCTGTTTAAATTTAGGGCTGATCTTTTTTACCTTCATGATGCTCTCTCTCCTTTGGTCAAAGGTTTTGAATTTCAAATACTGTGCTATTTCATAGAAAGTCAGTAGATGGCAGCAGAGAACCAGATTTGTTTCACTAAGCAGAAAGACATTTCATAAATATAGCTTGATATGATAGTCCATATTCTGCTGAAGGCATATGCTTCAGTCTGTGTTTTTTTTTAAGGACTCAGTACCTCCTACAACATGTCATTCAGTGTTCCCAATTACCCACTACTAGTGTGGACAGGTGTCCCTTAACCAAAGTCCTGGGCTCAACACTCCATTCTTCCCTACCCAACCTAATTTCCCAGTAGTCTCTTACCCAAGCCCCTCCGCACCTTAATAGACACAAGTGGCTTGTCCCAGTGAAATAGTAAGTTTTCAGCAGAAAACATGGGAATTCAGATTAGTCAGTATATTGCTAGTAATCAATCTGTACAAGGAAACTAAAGCAGAAAAGGATTTAGCAAGGCCAGACAATGAGATTGTGGCTGCCAGATGCAATGTTAGAAAGTGCTCCTGTGTTGGGTTGCCAGCTCTGGGTGGGGAAATGCCTAGAGATTTGGGGGAGGGACCTTGGTGGGGATATAATGCCATAGAATTCACCTCCCAAAGCAGCCATTTTCTCCAGGGGATCTGATCTCTCGTTCCTCCATTCCCAGGTCAGTTTCTGGATTTCTACTCTGGTGGACAGAAGATGTCCACCTCTCCACAGGTGTTGTATTCAGTTTTTGGGTTCTGCAGACCACCCTTACTACAGCTGCATCTCTGACAGGATGGGGTGCCCATTGCAGTGGGGAGGTTGTACAGGGTAGGTGGTCCACACTAAATAAAGGGCTTCACTTTAACATCCTTGAGTTGCGTGCAATCAGATCTGCCCTTATCTCTCTCACAGATATCCTCATGGGGGGAAGAGTGCTGGTTCAGACAGATATATGCTATCTGAACAAACTGGCAGGTACAGGATAGCAGACGATGTTATGGTTTGGACTGTGGCTGTTCAGAACCAGATTTCCCTCAGGGCCATTCACATAGCAGAGACCAGGAATTCTACTGCCAACAGGTTAAGCAGAACTTACCTTTCCAACCCCAAATGGTTCATTCAAACCAAGTTATCTTCTGGGCAGGGAACAACGGTCACTGGGTGTGTGTGTGTGTGGGGGGGAAGGTATCTGAATTTCCTGCATTGTGCAGGGGGTTGGAGTAGATGACCCTGGAGGTCCCTTCCAACTCAATGATTCTGTTATTCTAAGTATCTTCACCCAGTCTTTGAGAGGTGGGAGGTTCCCCAAGTGGACCTTTTTGCCACATATGAGACAAGGCCCCAAAATTCTGCGCTCTAGCAGGTGTCAGCCTGGCTTTGTTAGGACATGCATTCCAAATCTCCTGGATGGGTGGTCTGTTCTATGCCTTTCCCTTGTTCTCCCTCTGAGCAAGGACCTAAGGAAGCTGTCTTTTTTCAGGAAAATCAGATTGTGTGTCCTGATAGCTCCTTTCTGGCCACATCAGATTGGGTTTTCAACGCTCTTTCACCTAGCAGGCTCAGACTACATGATCCTTCCCCCTGCACCAGACTTACTGACATGGGGCCCTCTTCTACATCACGACATTGATGCCTACGCCTCACGGCATGGAGGACATGTCCTCAGGGCTCCAGTTCTCCCCAGAGGTTTATGATGTATTAATCCAGGCTAGAAAGCCCTTCACTAGGTACTTCTACTCTAGGGAATGGACTCAGTTTGAGAACTGGGCTAACTCAAAGGGTGTTTCACCACTCGCCCCTTGCCCTTAGAGTACTTGCTCTCTCTGGTGCACAGAGGTTTAGCTTAATCAAAGTGCAGGAAAAGGGGGGGGGGGAAGACCCAACCCAACAAAATGGAATCACGAACCTCGAAGGTAAGTTAGAAAGCAAATAAGGGGCCAGTAGTTAAAACTTAAATATATACTTAAGTATATTTAAGTTTTAATCACAGTGGGTCACTTTCTCTACTTCTAGTGCAACTTATGGGAACCCCTTTTGAATCCTTGACTTCTTAGCCCCTGGCCATGCTTACCAGGAAGGTAGCATTCCTGATGGCAGTCACATACGCCAAAGGGTGAGAGAACTGGCAGCTCTTAGAGTAGACCCTCCCCTATTCCTGAAGGTTTTTAATTAGAAGGTCGTCCTACACCTGAGTTTGGAGTTTGGAGTTCGTACCTAAGGTGGTTTCCAAGTTTCACCTGGCCCAGGAAGTAGTCTTACCCATATTTTCACCTCCCTGTCCTCCCAAGCTGAAAACGCAGTTCATACTTCAGATGTTAGGAGGGCCTTGTTGTATTACATTAGCAGGACAAAGCCCTGTGAGGTAGCCAGTAAACCCTGCCCTCTCAATATCCAGGCCCATTCCACCAGAGTGCAAGAGCTCTCAGCCACTTTCCATCACAGAGTCCAGCTCGATATTTGCAAGGCTGCAATGTAGTCAATTGAGGACACCTTTGTGAAACATTATGTGTTGGACCTGCAGTCAAGAAAGGGTGCAGACGTTGGCAAGGTGGTTCTACAGTAGTTTCTTCAATGAGAGTATCACCCCACCTCCTTTCGGTGAGCAGCTCACTAAAATCCCATTGTGGGGCTACACCAAAGACAAGATGAAAACAATTGCACTTACCTGTAAGTGTTCATTGACATCTGTGCAGATGTACATTCACTCCCTCCTGCCCCACTGTGAGCTCTCATAGGTATATATTTAAGTTTTTCCTACTTCTAGGCGACTGAGTGGGTGTCGCCTTGACTCTTGCTCCTCAGTTATTATTGGAGTATGGCAGGAACTGAGGGTAAAAAGGTTGCTGGCCTTCAGAGCACATGACGGTTTAGGTGGAAAGAAGCTGTTGTGTCAGCTCCAGAGGGAAGGGCAGCCCCCCTTCGGTTCCTAGGAGCTAGAAAAATAATATCTATGGCTGGCCTGTGTGCAGCCGTAGTCTCAATGTGTGTCTGCACAAAAGATGTCAATGAACGATAGTTACAGGTAAGTGCAACTCTGTTTTCTTTGCTACCGCTGCTTTGAAATTTTATTTATTATTTATTTATTTTATTGACTTTTATCCCGCCCTTCCAGCCTAGGCTGGCTCAGGATGACTTACAACAGAATAAAATTCTCATAATCCATAAAACACAATTCAGTACATTACATTACATTAATACAATTCTTGATAAATAATACAATAGTATAAAACAATATTAAAATCAACAATGTTAAAGTGCTAGCAATTCCAGTTTTACTTAAGTTCTATTGGTCTGTTTCAATTGGTGGGGATTAGGACAGGCAGTGGTCACAGGGACCAGTGGATCAGGGCTTCCACCATAGTTATCAGTTGTTATTACTAGTGCTACCGATGGCTGTAATTGTAGTAGTGGTGGTGCTGGTGGTGGTGGCGGCTCCAAAGTCCTGGCGGAAGAGC